ATTTCAATAAATAGCCAATCTTGTAAGACATGAAAAGGTCTATCTTTTGATCATGTGAAGAAAATTTGTTGTATCCATAATTGCCATATAAATGAATTAAAATTTTGTCATAAATGTTATGATAAAAATAATAGCTTTTCATTAGTAAGTTTGAAGATTTCAGAAAAATTTGCATGAGTCAACGAAAAAATGAATCATTAAAAATAAGTTTTATTTCACTTTCAAGTTTTATATGTTTCCGTCTCACCTTTAATTAAGTAATGTTTGTGAGAAAAGACTTGATTAAAAGGAATCTCATTGTATATCATGAACAAGAGAATGTATTTAATTATATTCATAAATACACTCTGTTGTTTTATAATATTTGTACAAAGCTAGAAAAATATACTATAGATTTATTCAGGCAACTAGTTTTTTCGATAGTTGCTAGTATTATTTATCTAGTTTTTCTTGCTTGATATCTTGTAGAAAAACTTATCACACGTACTGTTTGAGAATTGAATTGTGCTATATTGTTCTGGCAGTGTTTTATTTAGATTGTTTTCTTTAGAGTAGGCAGTTCGAAACTCTCAAAGAATGGACAACTATTTTCATAGATGGGACGAATACACGATATGCAGCCGAAAGTATTGATTCAACCGAAAGGAAAAAAGATCAAATAAAAAAAATTGACATAGAGATCAATACGTAAGGCAATTGTTTGAGTTACAGCCGTGATCGCTATATAAAATTGACCGTAGAGTTTTAAAAATACTCCGCATCTAGGATCAGTTTTTCGAAGTTTTCTTGTTTAGTTTTTAAACATTGTGTTTTCTACCATCATTGTCTTGCTTTATCATTTCGAAATTTCACGAAACTAGGATGATTTTCAAAAAAAAACAAAAGCATCGATTAATACATTGGCTTACTTCTCTATAGATAGAGATGCTTGTTCTACAATTCAAAATTTTTCATTTGATTTAAGCAAAAAAAACAACACTGTGATTACAAAAGTTTTTTTTCTTGACGATCAAAATTCAGTATAGGGTTGTAACTTTTGAATAGAATCCCAAGAGGTAAAGATCCTTTTAAGATTTTCTTAATCTTACTCATATCTATTTCTATTCATGATATAAACAAAATGAAAATCAGTATTGGGTTTTTGATGACATCTGTAGAGTGTTTTTGGCAAAAGTGACTTCAATAGCTTTTCATTTGACGTAGTCAATGCCACTCCGTTTCTTTTCATATCGAAGATTTTCTTTACTTTTTATCTCACAATATTACAGAAAAAAATCGATCGTAGATTACAAATTTATCGAGAAAGAACAATAACAGCAAATTTAGAGAATGCGACAAGTCGAATTGAAGTATACAAAAAAACGTGAAAGAAAGAGTGAGAGATATGTATCAGACAAAATATATTAAATATGAATTTTAAGTTTTCGTCTCTTTTGTCTGGCATCGGTATTATGGTTACAATTATTATGGTGGTTTATAATAATATTTTAAGATAAGCCATGCTAAAATAGACGGAGAAGATTTATATATATCTAATTGTTTTTTCTTCCCATCAACAAATATTATCAACGATTCTCAGTCCTATCTTATATATACTCAATTGTTGCTGGCTATTTCACACTATAAAAGAATCATGTTGCCAACAACCAAATAAAGTGTGATGATGTGTATGCATAGAAAAGATTTTTATTTCATCTTTTGGAATTGTTGTAGACATTTTCTTCAGAACAGTATGTGCATTTCTTACTTTATAGAATAATTTACTGTCGAACATTTACACTCAGATCCCCATCTAAATAAACAAAGAACAAGGATTGTTCCATCGACGTGTTGACTTGGTCAACAATCAGAGTAGAATTCGTCACATTATTCCATGAATCGTATTGTCTATCAATCATTTCAAGCATTCATATCGTCTAGTCTAATTCATTGAAATATTTAACAAAGGCTTGTTCATAGAACAAATCAATAATCATATTAGCGTTGATCTTCATTCTTCATCCGGTTTGATTGAAAGAAAAGAACTTGTCAATAATGACCTTTGCTTTTTCTATTACAAAAGTTTATTTTCAGCACAACTCGACAAAGCTTTTCATTTATTTGAATATTCAGTCGGAAATGTCTAATTCAAGTAAAGATGGAATGAATATTGCTATTAAAGTTTGATTATCGCTTGCGGGATAAAGTTCTGAACCGCTTCTCACATCCTCATCTACTAACAATCATTATTCTCAATAGATATTGCTTTTATTCAGATATTTGACATTGGCCTCGTACTACATATTGGTGAATAGGCCACTGTGATTAACGAATTTATTGAAGCGGATAATCAGTACGAACAGTTTAACAAATTTTTAGTATCTTCTACCAATTTAGACACGAGTCGTTTTTTCAATCCTGGTCGATCCTTCTGCAGATGTCAGATAAAAATTTCATAAAAATCACAGTAACAATTAAATAAAACAAAACCGTTCGTCGAGTCACAAGGTTAGAAGACATGCGATTTAGTGATAAAGTAGTGTTTTCTAATTTTTTTGACGAATATTGATCACGATATTTTCATATCATAATCCTTCACATCCTGGCTTCGCATCAACACTTTGTGGAAATATAGAAATATATAGGAATTGAAAAGTACCATTTCTGTAGGATCGGCTTTCACTATATAGGAAATATATAGGACACAGATTTTTACTACTAGGAAGTCTTTAGAATCCCGAAAAATGCTGCAACAGTATTGCAGATAATAGGTTGGTTTTTTTCTACAAGTGTTTGATACAGTAAATAGAAAAATATCTTTGATTTGCAAAAGACAATCGCAGAATAAAGTTTTTTGCTAAAGAAATAAAAGAAGTTAATTTATGTTTGATTTATTTTCAACTGTTCTACGCATACATTTCAACATGAAAATAAACAAAATCAAATTGAATAAAGTTCACCAAAAAAAACTTATCTTTTAGTTTATTACAAGAATAAATGCATGTATTTATGTAAAAAAAAACTATATATTATTACCAGCTTTAAAGCCATTATGTGCAATAGGAAGATTACAACCTCCAATTTTTAAAAGACCACAACCAATCTTCTTCATTTCATTATCAATCAAATTTTCAAATGATAAGTTAATAAATGGACTATCATGGCCTAACATAAGTAATTGTTTCAATTCTAATCCATCAGCTTTAAGTGAATCAATAATAACATTCTTTATAACTGGTGCTGTTGCATGTCCTAGTAAAATGGATTTGTAATACCGAGTAACAACAAGTCCTTCATTATAGCACCAATATTTTACTAATAAATCTAATTGTTCACGATTTTGGTTGTCGGTCTGTTCATCGAAGCATAAAACAAATTTTTCAGTTTTTTTCAAACATTTTATAAGTTCTGCATGAAATTATAGTCCTAAACCATGAGATAAGACATATGAAACCTTCCTAGACTGCATACTAAATTGTTGCGCAATCTTTGAATCAGGAAACATAGTACGAAAAACATCTCCTATTTCATCACAAGAATTAAAGCTATAGGCACGTCGAGCAACTGTCAAAGCCCACACTGCTTCAGCTTTAGTAACTTGTTCTTGAAAATCTAACATCATCGGTTCTTTACACTATTTAATCTTAATTGAGCTGTTGTAATAGCATCATCATTACATGATGCATCTGCTTTAGAAGATTCAATAGAAAATGTCGAATTGGTTTTCAATAATTTTATGTTCTCTATATGACCTTTTGTTTTCATATGTTGTGAAATAGCCCCCATCCTTGATTAGAACAATCAAGATCACCTGTTTTACATAAACTACATTGATATGTTAACACCTTGTTTTAACCATTTATTTAATTGAATACGTTCAGGATCTGTTTTGGTGAGTCAAGTTTGATTAAACTTGCTATTTTTCGGCATCGATGTTTACGAATAAAGAATATCAAATAAATAATATCAAACAAAAAATATCAAATAAATAATATCAAATAAACAGTATCAAATAACTAATATCAAATAAATAATATCAAAAAAATATCAAATAAATAATATCAAATAAACAATATCAAATAAACGATATTAAATAGAGTCAAATACAACAAATCAAATAAAAATATCAAATAGATCAGGTTCACAATAAAGAATCTTTTTTTTGTATTTTTCAAATAAAATAACGTCAAATCTAGAACTAAATACAGATATTATGAACAGATTGTAAACACAGCTTTTAACCCAGAAATCTCAAAAAGAGACTAGTCGTTTTTTTGGAAAACGTTTGAAGATAAAATGATAGAACTGCTTTTTAATTTCGACTAACTAATAGGAATGGACACTATAAATTGCCACTAGCATTTATGCGTTATTTGATAGACACTGGTAGCCATATCTATACAACATGAAAAGTATTGTTTTGAAAAGTTCATGACTCTTTTCGAAAGAATCTTCATTTTTTCGAAAAATATAGGAATATAGGACCAGTGCGAAGCCAGTTCACATCCATAGAAACTATCAGGAACAAACAATTGTTTCTCTTCATCGTAACTGTCAACATTTGCAAATGGCACATTTCTCTTTCGTCGATGACTTTAACCTTTTGACATAAGAAAGTTCAAAGTTACCAAACGATAAAAACTAACAGAAACTGTTGAAACACTTGATCACTTTTATATCATTTTTCACTGGATTTTGAGCAGTTAAACGGTTTGATAGATCAAAATTCAAATCATCTTTGATATGTTTCTATTCGAAAGATGAATTTCAGAAATTGTCAATTCCTTAATGATGAAAATAAAATGTTGCAACCCGATGACAAGCCAGAACAATAGATAATTTCAGAATATTTGAAATAGAATCTTTGAGCGAGACTTGAGGAAAAATGTTTTTTTTTTCTTTTCATTCATCATGATCTACTAGTAGATACAAGATAGTTCTATTTCAAACGATTTTATTGTTCAATCATTTTTTTAAGACTATGATAAGAATATTTAATCAATTTGAATTTTCAACAACCATCAACTTTGATCAATGTTAAACTTTTGTACTCGATGATTTCCATTCTCACTTACATACAGATTGCCTTCTCGATCAAATGATAAACCAATTGGACCCGAAAGTTTATTTGATTGATTTCCATAACCATTTCCACCAATGATGATACTTCCTCGCGTAGCTCCTTGAGGCCAACACATTATTCGATTATTCCCACTATCAGCCACATAGACAATACCTGATTGATTCACGATTACTCCACGTGGATATGATAATTGTGTAAGACTATTCCCTTGACCTTGACCACCAGCCACAATAATGCCTTGTTTTTCACCTTCCATCCATTTCATCACACGATGATTACTGGTATCTGATACAAACAATGAATGATCTCGATCGACAGATCCCTATGTCGGACAATTCAACTGATCGAGACGATTTCCTTGTCCGTTTTCACTAGCAACGACTGTTCCTTGACTTTCTCCTATTCGATATCGCTTCACTTCATGTTGATCGTAATCAGCAATATAAAGAAGTCCATCGTCAAACCAACACATCTAACCTTTGAGACGATTGCTTCTCCAATTGTACCATCTTGACCAGACCATCTAACTATTCTTTTATTGCCGTAATCACAAATGATAAAACTATCTTTTTCTTTATCAATAATCGCATCTATTAGACTGTTGAACTGATTAGAACGGTTTCCTTCTCCATTGCCACCGGTCACAACTCGACCAGCCGTTGCACCATATTTCCATTCCACAATACGATGATTCGAAGCATCGGCGATGTAGATAGTTTGATTATCATCAACACACAGACCCCATGGATTGTAGAGTTGATTCATTCCGTTGCCATATTCATTTCCTCCAGCAATGGTGACACCATTTTGTATCCATTTTGCATTAGCACTCAGATTGGCACTGCGGATTAATGGTGCTGAAAAAAAAAGCATAATTCCTTGTGTTGGCGATATACTTATATCAATATACATGGACAAAAACCGATATTCAGAGTAAAGAACTTGGATCGAGAAAGATAGAAAGAACTTTTTTGACGCAATTTTTATACCGAGTAAGGTCTTAATAGTAGTTTCGTTATTAGGATGTTTCGATAATGTCGCTATCATCGAAAAACTTCATCTTTCAAACAAGCTTTGATAATAAAATTTCATTATTGATCATCACAATCATCGAAGAAAATTTGACAGTGTTCTTCTTTTCGAAAAATTAGTTCTAGATGATTTAAATGACTATTGAATTTCGATCGAAATCATTACAATCCAACTTTTCACTTCAACTATTTTTCGAAGAACGAAGATTCGCGGGTGTTGATTAAAGTGTTCTCTTCATCCACACCTCACATCCATGTTAATACAATTTCAGAATGAAATCCTTTACCGTAAGAAGTTGTGAGATGAGGTGCCATTTGAATGATTAAAAGCTAGATGAAGAAAAGTTCTTTCGAAGACGCTATTTACCTTTCATTGCAAGACGAATTTTATTAATGAAAGATGTTGAATCATGTTCAATTTTGATATCTGGTGTATTGCTGAGAATGTCTTTTAATCGTTTAAGTTCTTCATTGAAAATTTGAATATCTGGATCGGAAAAATCATTTTCTTTACGACATTGAATGATTTGTTGTGTCAATTGTTTGAATTTAAAATCAAGATCAGTGAAAAATGTGATGACACACGGTAAGAGTTCATGACGAACTTCATTGGCCACTTGTCGAACCTTTTCGATCGATTCACGTTCCCATTCATCGATTTGTTTCATTAATTTATGTGTTTGTAGTTCAGCTTTTTGTTCATCAATTTCAGCTTTAAATTCATTGAATTGATCTTCAGTTTTATCTAATTGTTCGCTTAATTTATTACGATGTTCATTGATATGAACAAGACAAAAATCTTTTGAACATCCTTTACATGTTACAATACCCTTCGTTTTCTTGCATTGGATGCAAACTGTTCCTTGTGTTGTTGTCGCCATGTGAAAATCCACGATAAAAAAGAAAAAAAGATCTGAAAGAAGTTTGATAACGTGCGACAACAACAATATCTGAGTTTGTTGTGTATTTTGTCAACAAAAGAGTTCTTGTATCATGAAGGTGTCTACTTGTGTAGTCAGATTTTATCGTGGAAAATTTTACAACCAATCATAATCAAAGTTTCCAAACTGAGAATGAAGTAAAGATGTACATTAATTAAATCCTAATTTAAATTCTAATTCGAACAAAAAAAAATGGTTCTTTATTTCTCGATTCATTGATATCTTTCTTTTCTACACGACAAGCCCATTTATTCATTAATGTTCAGAAACTTACTTGTATTCGTAAGACTTTTCAAAATTTTTTTAAAACTATGATTGACAGAAAAGGCTACAATGAAATCTATTTGATGAGCTGAGTCGTATTAGTTTAAACTTGCAGATGTGATACTCTGTTCACATGTCGCAAAAAGTGTAATCAAAGAGTTGATTTTATCATTTGTCCAGGCTACAACTCAGTTTTAAGTTTCATAAAATACCGATAATCATCATCTCAATTCTTCTAAAATCGAACAATCGTTGGTTACTGGTCGAATAAAAAGGGTTTCATGTCGAAATGTTTTCCAGATTCTCAGAAAATAACAACAGAACCAAAAAAGATTTTCAGTTGTTCAAGAAATATATAATCCATTTTATTTAAGGCCATTCCTTCATTCATACCAAACTAAAATTTGCCAAGAAAAAATAGTCGAGACTCAAAAATTAGCCTTATGAGAACATCTCCTTTGAAGACATATATTCAATACTCAACGACAAGAAGCATACATGCTTTCAAAATTTGCTATATACACCAATATGTCAATCGTTGTTGCTGAGCATACGAATTTCATTTAAAAGAAAACATAGATTGAGACCTATATTCAGAAATCGGATAGGAAAACTGTTACTGAATGAAAATTATTGATAAAAACAAAGCATTAGTAGTGTGCGTTATTTCCTTATAAATTGAAATGTTCGATTTCATCAATTCAACAAAAAAAAACAATTCCGAATTTTTAAAACCAAAATGCTTAAATCATCGAAATCAGTTTTAAATTTAATTAATAGAAATAGAAATCATCTACTGTATATTTATGTACTAAAGTTCATTTTTGTTAATAATTTGATTTATTCGATATCTTACTAGAGTCCATTAAAATACACAAAGATTTGATTCAAATAATAAATCATTTCTATTATCATCGATTATAGTCAATATACATTCCGCTCGTGTAATTATTTTATTTTCCATGATTCGAAATTGTTTTTCTTGTCTAATAGATGTATGGTGTGGATATGAATGAAGAGAAGACTCACACCGTCACTCACATTCCAACTATTACTTCTGAAGTTTCTCTAAAAGAATATTTCAGTTGACATTGCTTAATACCATTTACATCGTGGAGAAAAAGTGAATCAATCTTACAATACTTCAAACATTATATTAGAATAATACTTGGTTTTTTCGATCATCTTGATTGTAAGTTATTAAACTATTTATTCACAATGATCTTGTTGAAAACCATTGAACGATACGTGTTATCATCATTTCAATACAAAAATATGGTAAGAGAATACAAAACAAATTTCTAACTAAAAAAAAACAATTATACGAATAGTAGGTTTAGACGAATGCGTCAGCGAGGTTGAAAGAAAAGGACACTTTATTACGAATAAAAAGTCATTAAGTGACAAAACTGTACACATGGTAATGAAAGAAAAAAATTACATAAAACACTACTACCTAGGCTCATATATTTTTAATTCATTCTTTCTGTTCTCTGTTTAAATAGTTACATGATTCATGTGTATCGCAGATGTCAACGATCATTTGTTTTTGAATGTGTTCAGATACTTTCATTGACAATTAGTTCATTCTATAATCACTGTTTACATACGATTTAAAATTTTATACAATTTACAAAACACAAAATAAATCATTATTTACAATTCTATCTTTTCTAAAATAAACATTTATTATATTATTATATGAATACAAAAAAAAAAGAATATAAAGTTGTGTTTCGTATTTATGTATGTATTATCGAATAAAATACATTGGATTAATTGAATATCCTTCATCGAAAGTTTCATTACATTATTCTCAATGGCTATCCAATTCAATAGAGATGATGGACGAATATGTTTGTTAATAATAATAATAATCCATTATGATAGTTAATTATTATTATTAAAATATATTAAATTATCATAAACGTGTAGCATCAATAATGATCGAAATATTATATTTAACAAAATCAAATGTTGCTAAATAATATGGATTAAAAATACGTACATTTGTATCGACTTGTCAAGTAAAAAATGAATCATATCTGTATAAGAATGTACAACAGTTAATATAAATGCTGTTATGCTATAATAATCTTGTTTATCGACAGTATCACTTTGACAATCAATAAAACAAATTGTAGATGTTTTGTTTTTACTTATGTTTCATATTGGAAGAATAATTGAACAACACTGGGTGATGAAAAGAAATTTTCTATCCGACTAAAAATATTATTTATTACAATTTGTATAAAAATAATTAATTACTATATCAATGATTTCATACGAAGTAAATTGATAAATAGTAGTTAGAATAAAAAATATACTCTATCATCAGATTGCTCGAGCTTATTCCTACCTGTAAGTTCAAGTTTTGGCAAGATAGAAAGAAACTTGAGAAATTGAATGACGAGGTGCAATGGACCATAGCTAATTGTTTTTCAAAAGTATAAATATAAATATATTGCTTTTGTCATGCAAATCATCACATTTTCATCATTTTTAGCTTCTTACTACTTCTCAAAAAACTCGGAAGTACAGATAGTATAAATATAAATGCTCGAGTCTTTGAGCATCACATACATTTCTAACCGATTATTATTAGACTTTTACTTTTCCTTTTGTCAAAAGTAAATGTACATGTGATTTACTTGACTAAGCTGGATCGATGCTCTTCCTATCCAGGAATGTTCGTTGTGTACCAGGCTATGATGAAATGAAAAACGAACGATATGAATTTTTGGAGTATTCTACTGAACTACCGAAAGAACTTTTGTTGTGATTGTAATTGCTGCGGGTGCAATAACAGTCCTTTTGTACCCATCGGTTGTACAGCGGAATGTACACGTTGTGCTGCCTGACAACAGGTCTGCAATAATGCGGGCCAACAAAGCTATACACGAAGAGCTAGTGGCTTCGGTATAGCTGAAGACAAAGCTTATTGCTGCAATTCATAGAAACATTTTAGTTTCCAATTCCGACAAGCAGACAATATTTTTTTTATCTCTTTATTTTTTGACTTTTCTATCTTGCTCTTCATTTAATCTTGATTCATAGTATTTATTTATTTTCATTTTAAGACTGTTTTTCATAAAAATACATTTTTATTCCCGCATGTTATCTTTGATTGAGAGATGAAATTCAACTCTGAAATAAATACTTTATTGCCATTCTTATTGCAGTATCCTGGATATCAATCGTATACATATTAGGGACATTATTAACAGGTAAATAGATGGACAGCTGGCATCCCACCGACAGTTCGTAGAAAAAGAGAAAAAAAGAGGAGAAAAAGAAGCGCATTTGTTTGGCTTTTAAATTGCAAAAAAGACTGTTGCGAGGTTCCAATGTCGAGAAACAAGAGCACTGTTAATCTAAATTCAATGCGGACTCAAAATAAGTTGAAAGATGAAAGCGATTGGTACCCGCTCATGTTTGGGGATATACATTTATTATCGAGCTCAGAAAAATAGAACTACAAAAAGACAAGAGACACAAAAAGCAGGGTCTGTCTCAAAGGTACCTAACTGTGATATCACTTTATCTAAAAGTTCGTAGACACAGAAATGGAAGTTAAAAAACCATCCAATATCCAAAATCTGTTTAGTTTATATTATATCGAGAGTGGAAAGGCCTAAGAAAATGGAAAAAGACGCAGTAGATAGTACATATTTATAAGACAAGAAAACACGATATATTGAGTTCAAAACAAAAGTTCCAGCTTGCTGTCTCAAATCTGTGATCGGAATTTCAACCATGGACAGAAGAACTTCTCCCTAAAAACACAAAAATACCACTTCTGATCAAGTCTGCAGATTCGAAATGATTCTGAATTCAACTGATATTGAGTAATATACAAATAAAAACTTGTACTTGAAAAAAATTTTGATCCGTGAATATACTACGGTTTAGTTTTGATAATTTTTCATGAAATTCTACGAAAAGTGAGAAATCTTACGCTTTTAAAGTCATATGACGCAACGAATTTTCATCGAAATTCATGAAACGTTATCACTAGATCATCTTCGACGTGACTAATGATGCAAAAACTATCGATGAGTATGAACTGATATTTTGCGAAACTTTTTGCATATCGCGAAATTTTTGAAGCTTTAGTAGATAAAATCAGGTTTTGTTTTTTGTCCCAACTAGTTGTGTCGTGGAAACTATGTCCTCATTCGAGCAAATATGGTCACTTTAACGGCAAATTGCCAATTCTGGAGCCGAGATTCTTGAGTTTCAATTAGCGGAAACCATATTTAAGTTCATACTGGAAGTTGTCTTGGTGCTCCACTCAAGCTTTATGCACGGCTGTTAGAAAAAAACTATTTCAATGAGCTGAGACATCTAATTTTTAAAGTTTTATGTTTGTACGTCAATAAATCTATCGCAACTGATTTTCGTATTCCAAATTTCAACCTCAATAAATATTTGTTTTAGCTAAATCGATAAACTCTATGTCAAAAAATTTAATAAATAATGCTTGTGAGAAGAATAAATGCTTATCTGGTTCTTATGATGCGTCCTGAAGAATAATTTTGAATCTTGTTATTGATCCTTTTGGTTCGAAGCATATTGATTAATCCAAATCGATCAATATTATCAATTATTATCATTAAAAACCTAATTTTTTTCAAAAAAAGAGAATTTACAGCCGAAAAGAGGCGAACAAGAAG